GCTCGTTAAGTGCATTTTAGCCGAAACGTTTTCAATTTGGCCGGAGTCAGTCTATTTTTAGGCTAAGCCCGACACAAAACACTATATTTTGCCGGACTATAAGTAATGATGTGACGATTTGGCAGCAACCGAATGAGGTGAGCGCACTAGAATGGGTTCCGATCCATTCCATATGTATATATCCCCGACGTGGGCGTTCCTTTATATAGTTCATTGGCCCCGTGCCATGTTTTCCTTAGCTGTTTGGCATTTTACCCACGCAGTTCAAGGCCCCGTTTTATCGGTTGTCGTTTAAGCTAGGGGTAGACCAACTTGGCAATAAATTGCTGAAGGAAATTTAGATTTTCAGAAGAACTGGACTGTTGTTTTCTTACTTTTTATATAAGGAACTATACCTTCTATATTTTTTTACTCCAATATATATCTTTATGTTTTCCAATTCTTTCCATCGGTTACAAACTTTATAATCAGCAGTATTTAAAAAAACTTGCACAGGCATAAAGCTATCATTTTAACTCCTGGCATTCTTAAAGAGTATCTCAAATTTCCAACCATAACTCTTCGTGAAAATTTGCCCACTTTGTTTGTTTGTTGCTGCCGTTAAATAAAATTTACTTTACCATGCACTTTGGGCATACATTCAGCTCGAGAAAAGTGGCCGGGGCCGGTTGTTTTCATGTTTCTTCTCTCAATTTTTTTTTTTTTTTTTGGTTTCCTTGGGCGAGGAAACCAGCTTGGGTCGTTTGCCCAGTCTGATAAATTGTTTCCGTAGAGAGAACGCTGCACGTAATTGCTGAGCGGATCGATGAAAAGTAGCTTAAGGATGCCAGACAAGAGTAAGTTGTAGTTGCTGCCGCTGCTGCTGTTGCTTCTTCTTTTGTGCTTGTGACAAGGCCAACTAATTTGTACACTTCACTCGAGAAACCGAACGACAGTTGGCATAAAAATAAGACAATGTTCAAAAGTGCCGAGCCAACTCATTGCAACACCCAACTTGTTTCCGTGTGAAATGTAATGCAATTTCATGTCAAAAACCAACACAGACGACAGGACTCACTGGAAAACTTTAAAGTGATATTTTTGTGTCGGTTAGTGCTGCACACCTGTCCTGGCCCGTTTGCCTGCCCGCCTGCAGGCTACCCAGATTCGTCCTGCAGCCTTTATCCACCTTCCACCTGCTGCCATCTTCGAGTTCGTGGGCTGCCGTGCCGCTGTCTCTTCTTGGTTTTTGCTGTCACTGCAGCAGAAATAGCACCAGCAGCAGCTACAGGAGAAGCAGACAGAAGTGCCAGTCATGAGGCCGCAAGAAAACAAACTTCAACCTGCTTCCTGTCCCGACTCACTTCTCTCTCTTTACCCTAGAAACTCCTTTCACTCCGCTCATCCTCGACCGCAGCACACGCCGCTTACTTCCGCTTTTGAGTGTTAAGCAACGCACACAAACGGAAACACACTCGTAAATACACGTCGAGAAAATTGGCAATCTCTGATTTGATAATAATATATTTAATCCATATAGTGATTCAAGAATTTTATTTAATGGACATTTTGGATACATTTTTTGATTATTTTCAAATGGAGGAAATGACTTCCAATGAATAGATTAACAATATTTTTCACTGTGTAGCAGCTGACACACTCACACTCGAAGATTTCGTTGTCCTTTGACATGCATGTCTCGGTCTTTAGCTGTTCAACCTGTCTGCTGGTGCCTCTCTGTGTGCAGTTTTTGTCATTCCTGGTTCTTTTCTTGTGCCCCGCCTGAAGGCACTGGCTGAAGTTATGACAAAACCTGCCACACCTACCGCCCATTGAACCGTTTGCCTACCCCTGCCATCTGACTGCCCATGGATCCCTTTGGCCGGAAAAAGGATAGAGAACGAGTGGCAGGGCGAAAGACCAAAAAAGTGCATAGGAAGCGTTAAAGGTGATTCACTTGTTTGTTGCTTGTTTGTTTGCAATTTGTTGCCATAATTCTGAAGTTGTTGCCGCTCGGTTTTCGCGCTTCTGGATTTAGAATTCTGCCAAAACAGTTTGGTTTCGAGTGGGAAGTGGAAATTGTTGTGGCAACTCACTTGATACTAAAACAAGATGGATTTTCTTGGAACGTTGATCTTTTATATTTATGAGTTTTAAGGAAAAAAAAGTTTTTAAATATTCATTTTGGCAAGCATTTTGTAAAGTTTAATGCCAAAATATAGTTGGCTTTTGCAATTCGAGGATCAACTATCTATCACCATTTTAATTGTTTTTATTTCCATTGCAAAATGTAAATTCCGACAATGTTTCAAGGTCATTCAGGGTGATTTCCAGCTCCAGATCCTTTTAGCTTTCCTGTTTATGATGCGTATACGTGATATTTTCGTTTGCATCTGTACCGCAGCTGAATGTGAATGTGAATGCTCACCATTTCGGGGGCCATATCAATTTCGCCATCGCCTGCTTTTGGACCACATTACCGTTAAAATTGTATTGGATTGGTCCTGGATGCTTTGCTGACCAACTGGATAACCGAAAGGCCATTGTGGCCCCAAGTCAATGCCAGATTGAGCTTGGCTGTATCCTTTTTCTATCGTCTGCATTCAGTCGCACTTTTCCCATATATACTTATAGACCCTAACATGGATGTGTGGGGATGTGTGTGTTTATAGATTTTTCGTTATAGCCACACGAAGTTCTTCTTAAAATGCAATTTTCAAGATTTTTCTTTTCCTTTTCAGCTCGTTTGGCTGTCGCCATTTTAGTCCTTGCCCGCTGATTTTAAGCCTTTACGTCACCCGCCTTCCTCAACTGGCCAACACTTCTTTTTGGCCACTGTGGCCACGCCCCCATTTGGTTCTGCTTGCATGTGTCAAAAGGTATTTTTTATGTTCAGTTTCGTGTTTTCCAGCATTTTTCCAACGTTTTATTTTTCTTCCTCCGGTTTGGTTCACAGGACATTCGAGGCAGGAGGCGAAGGCAACTGGAGGAGGCGAGACGAGACCAGCCGTGGCAAGTCGAGTCCCATCTTGTGTGCAGGTAATGTGGCACTTGGCTAAAATGGTGTGTGAAATTTTATGCGAAACGGCTTAAGATGTTGTTGCTGTGGCCGGAGTTGTTGTCGTGCTTGTTGTGCTGATATTTCTGGAACGGAACACAATCATTCTGCTATGTTGCACATAAAAAGTTACGTTGAGTGGCAGTATATATGTATATATGTATAAATATATATATGTGGAGATGGGGTTCGGATAGTTGGGTTTACTTCTATTCTCTGACCGAAGCTCTGCTGATGATGACATTTTCGTTTTGGTCGCTCGGATTGGCAGCAAAACACACAGTATGGGTCTGCTAGAATGGAAAAAGAAATCCCTAAAAAAAGATTAGTTAGCTTGGGAGGGTTTAGTTTAAGTTCCATTTCTTTTTTTTTTTGGCATTTCAGTGTGGACTTGAGTCAATGTTGTTAGTTTGGATTCTGGGAATGGCAAATGGCCTGAGAATGAAACTCGATTTCGATTGCGTTCTTTGTTTTTTTTTACTGGCTCTCGCTTTTTGTCATGGAAACATTTTCCGCATTGTTATTGAGTGTGCCAGAATTGGTCTTCACTTCCAGTTTCGATATACGAAGTAATCATCATCTGAATATGTAGCAAAGAGTGCGTTTGCCACATCTAAGCCAGATTTTAGTTTTGTAAAATAAACATGAAAATGCCAGATTTTAAGTTTCCTGTATTTTTAACTTAAAAAATAAAAATCTTTAAAAAAAAAAAAAAAAAAAAAATTTTAGCAACTATTTAAACTTATTTAATTTTGCCCGAGGCAAACTAGTTTTATTCTCATTGAATTTTGCATTTTTTATATAGTATTTGCAATGTGTAGCTGCACTTAGCCAAATTACCAACTTTGTTTTGTAACTCTGCACTGCAGTTGTTTTTGACCATTTCTAATTGGTTTATTTCTGTGAAAATATATAGTTTCCAGGTTAAGAGGCCGTCAGCCATGAAATAATAACGAATGTAATATGACTCACATTATCTTATATATATATATATATATATATATCAATTAATGAAGTAAAAGTTGATTCTAAATAACTAGTCAGTTGATACCAAGTAACAGAAGTCTTAATTGGATATAACAATGAGAGGTGTAATTATTAAAAATATATATATTATCGGTGCAAAACTTATGAAAAAGGTTAACATAAACAATATTTATTATAAGTTAAAAGGGGATATTAAAAATGAATACACCTTAGCTGTATAACAAAATAATTGATTTTTAATCTTCTCACCTGTTTTCAGGGCAAATAAGTTTCGCATTTTAATTTGCATTTGAAATTTACCTGAATTTCAATTTGTTGCCATTGAGTTTTTCTTCTCGAAACGAGCCAGCGTATTTTGCTTTGCCTTTTTTACTGTTGTTGGACGACGTGCATTTGGACCAGAGCGTTTTACATGTCAAAGGAACGTTGGACCGTGTCCGTGCAGATAAAACAACTCTATACGGAAAAGCGGAAAGGGACACCGAATCCTGGGGGCTTTCACCGGAAATGGATGTTTCTCTAACGCATATTTTCGCATTTTCCTGTTGTCGTGCTTTTTTGATGTTTCATCCCGGCGAGGACTCGTCAATTACGGCAAACAATGACAAGCATCATCAGCATCAAAGGGAGGCGGAGATCTCACCTTCCACATCTGTCAGCGCCATCATATTTTCCAAATTGCTTGTAAAAATACCTTTTAATTGGTAGTGAGAAAAGGGATTTTCAACCATTAGGCACTTGGCACTCAAAATTTTAACACGGTTTGGGATTAATTCAATCAAACTGGAACAGAGAAGGGGAAGGCGGTAGCAAAAAGGCCAAATCTAGTTAGCAGTCTGGTTTTTGCTGCTGCCGTTCTTGTTTTTGACACTTTTAATGGATAGGCGTAGCAAAATCATTAATTATGTTTGGAAATTCGAATGGAAAATGCATGTCACTCTCTGGATGAGGAAATGGTGAGACAATTTAGCAGGTCTTTAAAAAGCTGACGTTCTCTTTATTGGTACTCAGTTTGTTAAAATTGTATTTTAGTTTAGTAGATTAGCTTGGAAGTAGAATAGTTTACTTCCACTTAGTTTCATGTATGGAATGCCTTGAAATAATGGTCTCAACGCTTTCGCGGTCCATCTCTGAACGATTATAGGTGGCCTGCAAAGATATAACCGTACTGCGCTCCACATGACTGGGAACTCGATGTTGCTCCTTATAGATAAAGTTAAGTTTGTCATCGATTCCCACCAAATAGGTTGGAATTTCGCCACGCCCCTTTACGAAAGTCAAGCCACGATATTTGCAGGCAATACCGAATTCCTGAAGAATTCTGGCTGACTCCTCCGTCACCTGAATCTGTCCAGGCAGACCAGTTGATTCCATACGCGAGGCCATGTTGACCGGATTGCCCCAGATGTCATAGTGTGGCTGCGAGGCGCCGACTATGCCTGCCATCACCTCTCCACTGGAAATGCCAATGGCCATTGTTCCATCTACAGCATTCTTGTCACCTGGAATATTTTCGTATGCCTTCGTGCACTTGGCCAGCGTACGCATCATGTCCAGGGCATAAGAAGTCATCACAAAGACCACTTCCTCAAGGTCCCTCTTACTCTGCGGTTGTAAAAATGCCAGATTACCATCTTCATCGCTGTCTAAAATGAAATGAACCAATAAGATGGTCATTTTTGTAAGCCCAAAACACTTACCAATGGAGTCTCGGTTTAGCGACTTACTGGTGGAACCGGCAAAACTAAGGTCCAATCCACACGCTGCCATATAAGTACAGCCGACGACTTTGATTTTCGTAACTGAATAATATTCCTTGTAAAACAGCAACTAGATTTTGGTATAGAAATTATGAAACTTAATAGCTTAAAGAGCAACATATAATATACGAATGTTAACTGATATTAAGAGAAAAACGTGTGGTGGCAAACCGGATATTAGCCATTTTATGGATCATAAATCATAACCTTTATGCTTACCAACAAATCAAATTCGGTGATAATCTCATTCAGTATGCGCAGGCTTCGTAGATCCATTTCGAAATTCATTAACATGGCGAACATGACGGAGACCATTTGATAATTTTCATAGTATAGTTCATGCTTGGCTTGTGAATGTATATAGACATCGACTGTGAAAATAGAATATGTAATTTATTGCAATTGTGATAATTTACCAGCCTAAAGCTCACCAATATGGCTGGGAAGAATGTTGTTGAGGATAATTATGATTGAATGGTTGGTTAATTTGGCATCACTCTCTTTTTTTCTGAGATCAACTCGCCAGCTAATGAAATACGATTAAGTGCAAATGTAAGGGTTATGTTAAGTCTTTCCCACTCACTTGAAGTTCACCTTGTTGGCGAACTCAATTTGGCGCTCTTTTAGTAACATAGTCAGCAGGGTAACGACTATTATCAGAGCATGTGCATACTCGGTCGGAAAATAGGGGTTTGTCGTTATGCTGTGGTGGTAGACGAACTCAAACTGGAAGAAAACTATCAACAAATAACCCAAAGTCTGTAAAACGGCCATCGTGACTTTCAGTAAGAACGGAATCTGGGCGAATGTGAAGGTCGTGCAAATCAAAAGGGAAACCATGTTGGTCGCCACCCAGGGATGAAAGCATATTTTTTCTGACTGTTCGTAGTGGAAGACCCTTTCCTCAATAAACAACAACTGGAACTCATCGCGGTCGCAGGACATCTGAGAATTTAGTTTTAAACCGCTAATACCAACGCGATTGCTTCGAATACTCACCACGATAAGACACAACAGGGAGAAGCCCGATATGACCAAGTAGAGGTATATGAAGATGCGGATTAGTAGACTGCCAATGATTTTTTCGTAAATTCGAAATATAATGCAGCTGAATCGACTGTATGTATGTGACGGGTTTTTTCGACCATATCTTGTCCAGCAAATCTTCTTGTACCAGGCGATGAAGGTCAGAATTAGTTGTATTATAGCGAGGGAAGATGGCATAAAAATACAATTGTCGCATTTTTCTGTGCTATCCATAGTTTCAATGTACATCAGGCTCAGCCCAATGCACAAGGACAGAAGGATACTATACTTGAACATAAAGTCGGTTCGCTTAAGATACACTTTATCCAGTTCGGAATCGTAAAAGGTTAGACAAATGTTCAACTGGTGGTGAGCAGGTCCTTTCACTCCATCTTTACGTCGATAAATATTCCACAATGATTTAAGGCTGGGTTTGTAGGGTAAAAAATGTTCTTATTTTACAAAGAAGTACTTACCAGTAACCATTTTTGTTTTGGATTTCAAACGATTATGTACTCACCTAAATTCACTGACCGGCATTTTACGAAACTCTTCATGCAACTCTGCATTAAATATTTCCTTCAAAGTTTCATTCGTATTATCACTTAACCTTTGTCTTGACTCCAAATTGAAGACGGAGACTTCGTTCGGACTACCGACTACCGAATTATCATTCTCTTCATCCTGCAAGTCTTCCCGTATTATATATGTACGTATTCGGTGTTTATCAAGAAGTGGATGATCCCTTGCCTTCTCGGGGCCATCTTCAAAAACGTAGCGCTGTTCGGTTAAACAGTTCAAGGTTGCACTACTGATATGCACACAACCCGGCAGTCCAGTAGACTCCAATACATTGGCAATGGTTACATCCAATCCTAATAACATTTTCGGGGAAGCAGTGTTTATCAGTAGGATTTCTTGGTGTACATTGTCCAGCTCACCCCAAATATCAAACTGCAGTTTGGTCTCACCGATAACCCCTGCGAAAAGATTCCCCGAATGAACACCAATCCGCATATTTATATCCAAGCCTTGAGCTTTACTGGGAATTCAAAATAAAAATGATATATAAAAAGAGTCACATCTCAATTTAAGGCACTTACCGCACTTCCATTATAATGGTAATCATATATAGACCCAGGGACACACAATTGTCCGCATGATCGGGAGTGGGGTCCGACAGACCTGCCACACAATAATAACAGTCACCCAAGAACTTGATGCGCTGTACCTTGAACTGATACGCTGCCATATCGAATCTGCCGTAGAGGTCATGCAGAAGCTTTACCAACTTTTCGACCGTCAGGGTCGTGGTCAAGTGGGTGTAGTTGACCACATCAGCGTATAGGATGGACACGTCAGGGTGTAGCTGGATGGCCATTGTACGTTCCAAGGCGCTCAGGCTGCGTATGCCATTGCCATGCTTCATCATGACTATCCTGTTTTTAATATCCTTCTGCAAGGGCCGGGAGATCTGCGGCGGCAAGATGGTGTCTAGCAACTGCTTCTCCTGCAATCGAGCGTTGCGCAGCCATATCTCTTCCTTCACGAACTGGTGACGGTCCAGGAAGGATGAGCGAACCACTGTATCGTTTATCACTCGATAGAATAAGCCCACCAGATTCAGGCACAGACTATGCACCATATCCACGGACATACCGCCGACGGCAAACAGCTCGGAAAAAAAGTGGTTTATACCTCGGGCCGTGACGTTAACGAAGTACGTTATATAGATAGCGGACACTAAAAGAGCCAGCACGACAGCACCGCTTGTGAAGTGGATCGGCAGGAACATGTATATTATGTATATGGTGTAGGTGTCGTATAACGTGCCCAGTTGCCAATTGTGGACGTAGGTGTGATAGAGACATACGGTCAGGTCTAAAATAATGATTCGTGAATGTTACTAATATATATATGCATTTGGTTTATAGAACGCCTACCAGAGAATACCAATGTAAGGGAGGCGAAAATCGAGCTGGCGTACATGTACCAGGTATGCCTCGCTATAAAGTCATCACAAAAGTTAACACTCAGTGCAAGTATAATGACAAGGGAACATCCTATAGAGATGGTCACATCGACATAGATAAGATTAGAGTTCTTAGAAAAAAAGAAAATATTTTTAATGTATAGATATCAGATTTTATATTAGTATAGTTAGTATTGTGTTCCCATTAAGAAGGGATCAATAAAATTTAAATTTTATGTAACTTACCTGAACAATGGCCAACAACAGACAAACGTGTAGAAAAGTCACGGCAATATGCAGCACGAAGAAAGAGAATAGGTAACTATTCCACAGGCGAATCCGATACAATCGGAACTCGTTCTCTAAGTGCAGCTCAGCACATTTCGCCTAGGGATATTGTGTTTATTTTTGTTGCTATATTTTACTATTTAAACATTTAATACATTTTACCTTAAGATATCCGGGTTCCCACTGGCGTTCCCGCGCATAGTTCAGATAGCACCGCCCACCCGGCAAAGGCATTTTGAATAATTGTCTTTAAACTTGTTCTGCCCTTTGACTTCCAATGTCAACGCCTACTTATGTAGGATTTTATCTTCAACAGAAATATCAATAATAAAACAAGTTGTTCATGTTATTAGTAAAAACGTTTTAATTTCAAAATAAAAATGGGATAAGTAGATTCAAATTCATTTCGAAAAGCTACGTATCTCAGATTTCCCAGACAGCAAAATAAGATCGGAATACCTGAGCTACGTAGCCCACAATATGCATTTCAGCTACTTTCATAATACGACGAATTTTTTTCGAACAATTATTCTTCATAATTTTTGCCGTACAGAATTATCTCTGAAGCGTGTATCGAATGCCGTGCAGAGGACTGAGGGCTGTTCTTGGCAATAAACTTTAAGTCCTTATCGATGCCCACGAAGTAGGTGGGAATTTCGCCACGACCCTTTACAAAGGTCAAGCCGCGGTAGTCGCACTGAATGTCAAACTCCTCTAAAATTTTGGCGGACTCCTCCGTCACCTGAATATGTCCAGGCAGCCCCGTCGATTCCATTCTGGAGGCCATGTTGACGGGATTACCCCAGATGTCGTAGTGCGGCTGGGAAGCACCAACCACGCCGGCCATTATCTCGCCGGTGGAAATGCCTATGCAGAGCTCTCCACTGGATAATGCCCGATCGAAGGGCTTAGTCTTATATGCCGTGTTGCACGCAGACATGACACGCATAAGGTCTAAAGCGAACGAAGTCATTATAAAGGCCACCTCATCACGGTTGTTAGTTCTGTCAGATGAATATCGAAGACTGCTAAACCGTTCCACTAAAAAAGGATTGTATGAAAACTAGCCAAAAAAAATGCGAAGCTGTGGACAGTAATACTGTCCATTTACCACTTACAATCGGTTGATGCCGAACTACTGCTTACAAACGTGCTGTCGCGAATTTTTGAAGCCAGATTAATATCCAATCCACAAGCTGCCATATATGTGCAGCCAACGACTTTGATCTTCTCAACAACGTAATATTCCCTGTACGCAATCAACTGCGATCAGAAGGCAAGTTCGTTCCCTTACTACAGGTATATCCTTTAAACCATTTAGTATATCAACTTACCAACTTATCGAACTCGGTTATGATATCGTTTATTACCCGTAAGCTTTTTATGTCCATTCGGAAATTCATAATCATGGCGAACATGACTGATACCTTACGATAATTTTCACAATACAGTTCGTGTTTCGCTACTGAACTAAGGTAGACATCGACTGCGGAAAAGGATGCGAAGTTCATTCAGTACTTTTCAAGTCCCTAACGATTAGCATAAATCTTTAGCTAAAAACTTACCAACATGAGAAGGAAGAATGTTATTGAGCAGAATTATGATTGATTGGTTCGTGACATCGGCCGCCTTTTGTTTGTTTTGCAGGTCCACATTGAGCCTATGAACAGCAAGACTAATTAGTAAACTATGAGTAAAATCTTGTACTCGATACTTACTTGTAGTTCATCTTTGTGTTGAACTCTGACTGACGCTCCTTAGCATACATAGTGATCAACATCATGCTCACTCGAATGAAGTGCGCGAATTCCGCGGACAGATGGGGAGTCGTGGTGAGGCTGTGATGGAACACAAATCTGTATTGGAAGTATACGATCAAGAGGTGAGCAAGAGCTTCAAGGCAGGCGATAATTGTCTTTAGAGCGAATGGAATGCGCGCAAAAGTGTAGCTTGTGGCAAGGATTAGAGCCATCATGTTCGTGAAGACCCACGGATGGAAACAGGTCTCCCTATCCAGTTCGTAGTGAAAGAGCTTACTATCAATCCAATCCAACTGAAACTGACTTTGGTCACAGGTCACCTTAGAATTTAAAAGACTTTTAAAATAATCATTGACGTCTTTGATAAACTAAACTAAAGAATAACTAAGGATAAAACTTACAACTATCAAACAGATCACCATGAAGTAGCAAGCTAAAACCGTCATATAAACAACAATGCGCAGTACAAAACTGTGCTGGATCTTCTCAAAGATATAAAATATAAAACAGCTGCATTTTCCATACTTCCTGGGGCTATATTTATCATATAGCCACCAACAGACTTTCTTGTACCACGCGATACACAGCATAGAAGTAAGCAATACAAACGCTATCAGATCAATAATAATGCATTCATTACAAGCAATTTTGGTGGTCACTGTCTGAGCGTAGATCAGACAACACCCAACGCCCCAAGCCAGCATGATTGAGTACTTAAAGAGATAGTCTGGTTGATGGAGATAGTTCCATTCCAGTGATGAGTTCTTAAATGCTACACAAAAAATTCCCAAATCGCGATTGGATTTCTCTTTATTCGTATCCGTATCTCGGCGGCAGCAGGCTGATCGACATCTAAGGTGAAATATGTTAGAAATTTTTTTATATTACACTTTAACCTTACTTAATGCCCCCAACTGGCATCTTGTCGAACCCATCACGCAACTCTTCGGATATTGAGCCATCAGCGACGACCTGAGTTCTTCGTTCTGTTTCCAATGTTTTAAATTCCATGCTACCATAGGAGCGGAATTCTTTTAAGGATTTGAATGAATCGCGGTTTGGTGCTGCTGTTAGAAGATAGGTGCTCATCGGATTCTTTTGCAGAACTGGATCCAATTTGGCCTTTTTCTGTGCCCGAAAATATCGTGTAGTCTTTGGGGTCTAAGTGACTTAAAGTTCGCCCACTGACGTGCACATAGCCCGGTTTTCCGGTCGCCTCCAGACGATTGGCAATATCCACGTCAGCACCTGAAAGGTCAAATAATTTATATATTTGCAGAAATAAAACCCAAGATGTTCCATAGACAAAGCTTAAAATTATAGAAAAAAGTTACTTAAACCTTCTTTTGATACAACATACCCCAAATATCAAACTGCAACTTGGCTTTTCCGATGACACCTGAAATCAAACTTCCTGAATGGACTCCAATGCGCATATCGATGTTCAAAGAACGTTGCAACCTGTGGAAAGGAAAATATGTTGAGGAGTACATAAAGGAAAGGCTGTAATCTAATGACCAACATACCGCACCTCCTGAATGTTGGCTATCATGGAAATGCCCAAGGACACGGCCATTTTGGCGTGATCGGGGTCAGCCCCTGCTAGACCAGCTACACAATAGTAGCAGTCGCCTAGAAATTTAATGCGCTGCACCTTAAAAAAAGACGCAGCCATATCGAACCTGCCGTAGAGGTCATGCAGAACCTTCACCAAGTTTTCCACCGTCAGAGTTGTTGTCAAGTGGGTATAGTTTACTACATCGGCGTAGAGAATACTGACATCGGGATGTATCTGGAAAGTCACTAAGCTTTCTCTTTTCCGGCGACCAAAGTCGAAGGTGTCATAATCACTGTCCGATTTCATAATCTTTTCCTTAATGCTGGTTTGGATGGGCTTCGCAATCTGAGGTGGCAGAATGCTGTCCAAAATCGTCGATTCCTGGCGCAGAGCATGACGTAACCATATCTCCTCCTTAATGAACTGATAGCGGTCCAGGAAGGAGGCGCGCACGATGGTGTCGTTGAATATTCGGAAGAAAATGCCCATCATGTTGAAGCCCAGGTAGTGAACTACTTCGACGGTTATTAACTCCAAGCCGCGAACAGGACTTGCCATGGCTTTTTGGCCAAATGGTATAAAGTGCAAAAAGTAGAAAATGTATATAACACTGACTGAGAATGCTAATAAGGCTGCTGCCTTGATAGAAGGTATCGGCAGGAACATATAGATCATGCACAGAGCAAAAACATCATATGAGGTATTTAGAGGCCAACTTGAATGGTAATAATGATACATGTTTTGCGTAATATCTAAAAATAATATCCAAAAGGAGGCAATTGTCAAGGGCATAACTATATAAACTTACCGCAGATTACCACAATATATGCCGACAAAACTGAGGAGCATAGCATTACCCAACTGTGACGAAATACGAAGGACTCAACAAAATTTACGGCCAATATGCCAGCTACCAATGCAAATGTCGTTACATCACAAATAATATCTATATAGGCACTTTCGAAATACTGCATAAAGGCTCATATAGATGAAATAATCAATCGGTTAACTGTGATCTCTCACCTCGATGCCATAGTATAAGATTAGATTGTTGCATGTAACCACCAGTAAAAACAGTAGGATGAAAACGGTTAGGTAACTGACCATTAGACGGATCTGATACTTCTTATACTCTTCCTCCAAATTCAAATCCTTACATTTGTCCTAAAGATATTATGTTTAATAACCCGAAAAGCACCCCGCACAGCTTACCCTCAAAAAGCTTTGTTCCCATTGGCGCTCAGCAGCGAATTCGAGTTTACATGACCCAAACCTAAATCTGTACGGTTTTCTAAAGATTTTTCTGTTCATATCTCCGAGTTTATTTTGTAGTGTAGGATTTATATTTTTAATGAATGTGGAGTTATCAGAACTAGTCCTGTCATTTTTGTTGCAAAGGCTATATGATTGATAAGTAAAAAACAGAGGAAGAAGAACGATAATTCTGCGATTAAAATATATTAAATGGTTTTTTATAAAATATATATTTTCAAGCTTTTGTGAAAATTGTATAAGCTATTCGCTTGATTCTGTTAAGTTGCTTGAAGACGAACCTTGGTAATCTGGATCAAGAGAAGACATAACTGAATATCGCCTTGACGAATTCCGATCATTTCTATTAGAGGCTTTGAATTTTAAGTTTTCGTCGATGCCCACGAAGTAGGTGGGAATTTCGCCACGGCCCTTTACAAAGGTCAAGCCGCGGTAATTGCACTGAATGTCAAACTCCTCTAAAATTTTGGCGGATTCCTCCGTCACCTGAATATGTCCAGGCAGTCCCGTCGATTCCATTCTAGAGGCCATGTTGACGGGATTACCCCAGATGTCGTAGTGCGGCTGGGAAGCACCCACCACGCCGGCCATTATCTCGCCGCTGGAGATCCCGATGCAGATCTGTCCGCTGGATAGGACACCGTCGAAAAAATTCGAGTAGGCTTTGTTACACGCTGACATAACACGCATAAGGTCCAGAGCAAACGTAGTCATTATGAACACCACCTCATCGTTGTTCATATCGATATCGTGATCGAGTTTCGCGTCATCAGTCAATCTGTAACTGCGTGCCTGTTCCACTGAAATTAAAATATTAATTGATTGTTATTCTTATGAGAATAATTAATGTTGCTCCTTATTAAGCTGCGCCTACCCTCGAAATGTAGAGAATTGTTCCGATAGTGACTGGTGTTCTGGCGGATGCTTGAGGCCAAGTTAAAATCCAATCCGCAAGCTGCCATATAAGTGCAGCCAACTACTTTGATTTTCTCAACTACGTAATATTCTCTGTAGGCAGTCAACTGCGATAGAAAGGAGTTTAAACAAAGCTAATATATATATAGTATTAAAGCTTACCAGTCTATCGAACTCAGTTATTATATCATTAAGCACGCGTAGGCTGGGCAAATTCATTGGAAAATTGATGAGCATGGCGAACATGACTGATACCATTTTATAACTTTCATAGTAAAGTTCGTGTTTGGCTAAAGAATTGATATAGAGGTCGACTGTGGGAGGGAGAGAAATAGTTCACAAAGTTTTGCTAAGTTTTACTAAACTAACCAACATGAGCTGGAAGAATGTTATTCAGCAGAATTATAACGGATTGATTTGCTATATCCGCGGCCTTTTGCTTGTTTTGCAGATCCACATTGAGTCTATTAGCATGAGGATTATTCAGGCACTGTGAGTAAAATCATGTACTGGATACTTACTTGTAGTTCATCTTTGTGTTGAACTCTGACTGACGTTCCTTCGCATACATAGTGATCAACATCATGCTCACCCGCAGACAGTGGGCTACTTCCGCTTTCATATACGGCGTAGTGGTAGGACTGTGCTGAAAAAGAAAAGCGAACTCGAAAAAGACGATTAGCACGTAGGCGATGGTTTCGCAGCAGCTGATAAATATCTTCAGGGCAAAGGGGATGCGTGCAAACGTGTAACTTATGCCAAGGATCAGGGATACCATATTCGTGAAGACCCAAGGATGGAAGCACGGGCCCTGATCCATCTCGTACCGAAAAAGCTTGCTCTCTATGTAGTTCAACTCATACTGTGCGCGATCGCAGTTTAACTGTAAGATGAATATGACTACTTTTTTTTCCCAATGACTACTTTTGTTAGAAACTCACCATTATTAGTGAGAGCACGGCATAGTAGCAAATAATAATTAACAAATAGACGGTAATGCGCATAGAGACGCTGTGCTGGATCTTCTCGAACAGGTGGAAGGCCAAGCAGCTGAATCTGCCGTACACTTTGAACTCATATCGTCCACATTTCCACCAGCAAAAGTTCTTATACCACGCAAGGCACAGCAGGGAAGTCAGAAAGAAAAACGTTATCAAATCTACCACAATGCATGAGACGCATGCAAAGTTATTTGCCGCAATCTGGATGTAGATCAGGCAGCAACCAATGCCCCAGGCTAGCAGCATTGATGACTTAAACATAAAGTCCGGCTGGTGCAAATAATTCCATTCCAGAGACGAATCTTTAAATCCTGCACAGAAAATTCCAATTCCGCTGCGGGTTGTATTAGTTTTTTCTTTCTTTTTTCGGCTGAAGCAATGCTTATGAAAGCTATGAGGAATAGTATTAGGAATCAATAAAATTTGAAATATATTACATACTCAATGCCACCAACTGGCATATTCCGGAATTCTTGGCGCAACTGTTCGGTCATTGATGTGTGACTCCCCCTGGTCGAGCGAACTGTATTGATTGGCCTTATATCAATGCTCGATCCAGATACAACTCCTTCCACGGATTGGTATGAGTTGCGCTTGGTTTCGGCAGTAAGAAGATATGTGCTCATACCAGCTAGAAGCGGATCATCTTTGGCTTTTTGTGTACCCGGAATTATGGAATATTCTTCTGGGTTTAGTTTGTTCAAAGTCCGTCCACTAACATGAACATAGCCCGGTTTTCCTGTAGACTCCAGATGATTGGCGACCTCGACGTCACTACCTGAAAAAGTATTTGGTGAAATCTTATCAAAGTAATTACTTATTACCCCATATGTCAAACTGCAGCTTGGCCTCGCCGATGACGCCTGCAAGAAGAGACCCTGAATGTACCCCTATGCGCATGTCGATATCCAAGTTCCGTTCAGCCCTTAGGATGAGAGTGAAAGCTAGTGAATAATTAATCTTGCAATGATGAACGTACCGAACTTCCTGGATGTCGGCAATCATAGAAATGCCCAAAGAAACTGCACATTTCGCGTGATCTGGATCGGGCCTCACTAAACCTGCCACACAATAGTAGCAGTCTCCCAGAAATTTGATGCGCTGCACCTTGAAAGCAGAGGCTGCCACATCGAATCTGGCATATAGATCGTGCAGGACCTTCACCAGGTCCACCACCGTCAGTGTCGTTGTCAAGTGGGTATAGTTCACCACATCTGCGTAGAGAATGCTGACATCGGGATGGATTTGAATGGCCATGAAGCTTTCTCCCTTGCGTGGGACACCCACAAGGTAGCGGTCATACGTGTTCTCAGACCGCGAAATCTTGTTCTTAATGATATCCTGGATGGGCTTCGCAATCTGAGGCGGCAGAATGCTGTCCAAGAGTGTAGATTCCTGATGAAGAGCGTTGCGCAACCACAACTCCTCCATGATGAACTGATGGCGGTCCAGGAAGGAGGCTCGAACCATAGTTTCATTCATAATGCGAAAGAATATGCCCATCATATTAAAGCCCACGTTGTGTAAAATATCAACTATTAACGCGTCGAATCCTTCTAAGTTTCCTTCGAATTCCTGCTCATACCGTAGTGAGTTCATATAGTAGAACACGTATGTGAGGCTAACTGAGGTGGCCAGTAGGGCGGCTGCCCTTATTGAATGTATCGGCAGGAACATGTAAATCATGCAGAGTACAAAGACATCGAATGTGGCATTCAGGGGATAGTCCTTGACGTAATAATTATACGCGTTTTGAGCTAAATCTGATTTTGTATGCCAATCATGAAGATAGTCAAGTGCCTTGTTTGTTAAACTCACCTGTTAATACCACAACATATGCTGCCAAAATCGAGGTGGCAATCATGACCCACGGGTGCCGTTTTACAATGTTGTCAAAGAAATTGAGGCTCAAAGAAACTAGTGCCACGAAAACTGCTAGCTTTGGGACCACTAAGTCAGATATGATCATTTCTAAATGCTGTTAAAGAGGTTTTTTTTAACTATAAACCTAATCGATAAGCCGTTTGATTTCACCTCAACAAAAATAATTTCCGCTGATAAAAAGCAAATGGTAACAAATATAAACAAAATGAAGAAAATGGAAAGGAAACTGATCATCAGACGGGTTTGATAGATTTCATATTCCTCCTCCAAGTTAAGCTCCTTGCATTTGGCCTTTTGGTTATGGGCTCATTAGCTGATCAAAGGTGGGTTTGATTTGCTTACCCTTAAATAAGATAGGTCCCACAGACGCTCATCAGCATAGTTGAGATGACATGGTCTAAATTTCTTCCTACGCATAATTACGTTTTTGTTGATGTTCAATGTATATCTTTGTTTTCTATTTAAAATAATTTTGAATGAATGTGCAGAACAGGCTTGCTTTATCCAAAGAAATTTCGTGTTTCAAATAAAGCTTTTGGTTTTCCTTATGATATCATAGTTCAATTCCTAATTAGATGACTTGCCTTCTATGCTGACCAGCTGAAGGCTGGCTTCAAAGGAAATTTTTGGAAGTAGAACTTCAAATCAAACCCAAAAAGAAAAGGGTGATGTCCAATGCACGGTACGCGCCAAAATCAATGTCAGTAACAAAAATTCCACTTATCCCGAGAACCACAGTTTGCAGTTTGACGGAAGTCCTGCCCTCGGCATCTCGGCTGTCTGTTGTGTTGTGTTTTGCGGTTTCATCGGCTTGTTCTAGCACATTCCATTTGCAAAATGATTGGAATTTATGCTTACAGATTAGATGACCTCGCAGGCAGGAGCTAACAATAGCCCCCAACTGGCCCACATTTTGCCGCACTGGGATTGGCACTTTCCACCCGTCCGGCTGCGGTTGTTTCTCCTCTGGTCGCAGACGGATGCAGACAGGCTTCTTTGGCTTTGGAAAAGATGTGTCCTTCTTGGTTTTTGCAAATCACTGCGGCAAACTTTGATATCTGCAAAAATGTTGCATTTCCATTCGATATTTGGGGACCTGGTTTTTGGTCAAAAGTTGCGTGCCCGGCAACCGCTTTGGTTCACAATCGGATCCAATGATTCGCCATGGCATCGCATGAGGTGGCCCATAATGAAATGCTGAAATGCAGAAACGTTGGGCGCTGAAAGCTGAACTCTGGCATTCCGAGAGCCTTCGTGCCGGCCATGTCAAAGCCGTCGCCATTGCCGCCGCCCATTTACGCCCAGCTGCGCAAATTAAATAATAGCCGCGAGTGCATAAAAAAGAAAGCGGAGTAAACTTTATTTCACTTAAAGCCAAAAGCAACACCAGCCAGGACGTAACAGTAGCCATTGTAGTGGCAAGAATTCCCCCCTGCCCTTCGCTTGGCCAACACATATAGTACACACTCACCGGTCGTATAAACATACCTATTCACACACACATGCATTGATGGGTTTATACTGCTGACAAATACAAGATAATTGGATAAAAAGAAACCACGAACAACTTTGTAGCTGGAAAATACAAATTACAAAGGATAACTATAATTAAATTTTTGATGTCAACAAAAATACTTTAAAATACCACAATAGAATATTAATAACCATCCATTTATAATGAAGAACAGTTATCCCGTTTCTTACTTAAAACATAACTATACTAATTAGAAAATCTGCTTATAAAATGAAGGCCTTTCCTCCCTTAGCCTATCACATAAACTATTACTCACACATAGTGGTATTCTGTTTGTGGCTCGCTCTCGCATAAGGTTACATATTTTTTAAGCCAATTTTACAGGCCACTGCCTAACAAGGACATTAATTGGTAGCTGCTCCTCCAGCCAGCCAGCCAGGCTGGGGCTCAGGCTTTGGATTTTACACTGGAACTGGAACTGGCTTTCGCTCTGGCCTGTACGCCTTCTCTATGTGCCACGCCCACAGCAGCGCGACTCGGCCAAAAGAGTAGTTAACTGTATGCGTTGCGTTTCATCTCTCTTTGCTTTGCTTTGCTTTGCCACAATGCACAATTGCAGGCAAGGTAATAGCATCTTTGACCTTTTAAAAAAGGCTGAAACTTCCTTTAAGTTTGTGTGTTTATTATAACTATTCTATTTACCTTTATATATCCATACTTTATCTTGTTTTATCTTTTAGTAAAGAATGATATTTTCAACAATTTTATAAAATAAAATGCTTGGAGATTTATTAAAGTTTTCCAAAATAACCTTCTTAATCTTATAACTTAAAACTTTAAATTCAAAAGTTAGTAGTCTTAGCTTTGGTAATACATCTGTTATATATATATATAGATGCGGGTATTTTAGTCGTAATTTTTTGCTTGGATCCCTTTTCATGGTTTTTATTCACTTCAATATTTGCTTAACCCTTTTTTGTATGCCCGCCACGTTGACGTCACTTCTCGGCCAATTCTGGTGCTGCTTTAGCCGAGGACCGAAAGGAACCTTCTGCCTTTGGCAACACGGCAAACGGCGTGTTGTTTTTGCTCTTATGATTAAACATGCCTTTCGCTTTTGTTTAAGCCCGGCCGTCCAAGTTGCCTTAAATATTGCATGAATGTGTTCCACGAGGGGCGGGTAGTCGTGGTCGTCGTCGTCGGGTCGAGAAGAAAGTCTGTACCTGGCGACCAGTTAATTAGCTGGCACTGCTGACTTTTGCCGCTTGACGACATATTTCGTTTAAGGTTCAAGTGTTTTGCCAAGTTCGAAGTTCCAAGTTGAGTTTACCTCCCGGCCTCCCAGTGCCTTTCCTCTATTTGCTTTCCTTTCCATTTTCCAGGTGCTAGTGGCGGTGACCCCACTTTACCCCCTACTCGCAAAGGACTGGCATGTAAAAGTGCGATTATAGTCGCATAATTATCACGCTGACATGCCCACACACAGAAGATCGGCGGGTCGGTGTTAGAGGAGGGGGAGTGGAAAACTGGGGGGTAAACCCATACAGAGAAAATGCCGAAATGTAATTACCTGGCAAACAAACCGCAATTTCTCGGTACACACTAATACAGGAGGGCACCGACACACACACACACACACACCGATGAAAACTAAGTGAAAGTGGACACGCAACAAGCAAAACTCAGGAAAACTCTTTGCCGCTGGGCAAGGGGAAATTTAAGCTAGGGATGACAGCGTGATTGGCACTCGACAGAAACTGTATTTAATATTCTGATTCTGAACTAAACTGAATTAATTAATTTTCTTTAAAGATTAAAATTCGTTCTCAAATATTCATGAAAATTACTTATACGACATGTGACCCCAGAGTAGGAATAGTTTTAATTTTAATAATTACTACTCTATTTTTTATTTGTATAAATATATTACAAATAATCATTAGTTCTGAAAACATTTAAAATATTTCACAAATTACAGGTTGAATTCTTCCTTCCAAGACTAAGTTAAATATTTATTTCAAGATTCCATTCACGCATCCATCGCTATAGTGTAAAGGCCATCTGCTTCACCTGCAAAACTTTTTGGGGTTTGTCATTGGGGGGACCTGCGTGTTTGCCGTGCTATTGCCCGGACCCGGACTCTGGCCTTTCGGCCCGCACTCCGGACCCAAGCAGAACCCAGATCCGTCTGGGTCGGGTTCGGTTTTGCTTTTGGCGTGGACTTGGGCTCGGGCTTGAGTTTTTTGGGTTGGGTACGGGTCGGCACTTTGAAGGCGATATCGTTAATGTTGCTGTTGATTGTGTCCAAATGGGCCAACACTCAGCAGCCATTCGCAGCAGGAAAACTGTTTGGCGGGGGGCTTTAGTGAGTTCGATGTCGATTTTTTTTTAGCGATTCTCCTTCTTTTCCTGGGGTTGGCTGTAAATTTCGTAATTTATTTGGCAATTGGCAAACCGTTTGGCGCGTTCAATGCAGCACTTTAAGCATTCGAAGGGGCTTTAAAATATAAACAACACTAACAACATAATTCCCGGCCATAAACAAAAACAAAACTGGCAGCCATACTAACCGGCGGCAGGGAAAATGTGGAAAGAACGACAGCAGCTGCTGACCAACAGTGACAACAGCAGGCAGGCACAGGCAACTTTGCGTTGGAAAATGCGGAAAATGGTGAAAGGAACAAGGGAAAGTGGGACCGACAATATTGGACGGGGCCATGCAAATTTTCGGGTATAATAATGATGTGATAATGCCAGAAGTGCCTTATATGGTAATTGCAAGTTTGTAATGAATGCAAAAACCTTCGGTAGCTAGGTTGAAATTCAAAATTCGTTTAGTTGAAAGTTAGAAGTAGGGAAATTAAGTAAGTAAGTAAGTAAAATAATGTGAGTTTCCAATTATCGTAAGATGTTATGTTTATGTTCTTTATAAAGAAAAATAATCTTCCTTATGACAGATTTTTCCCTTCTTGTAAATAAATGAAATTTTCTTGGCGCGTTTCCCGTAGTGAAAATTAAACAATCGGGTCAGTCGGATAGAGTCCGCGTGAATGTTTAAATATTTCAACGGCGAACATTAAAAAGCCTTTATGGACTGTCCTCCAGGGTATATAAAAATTCTGTTTCAATGGCCCCTGCACTTTTTGCATTCCCCACCGCCAGCTATTTTATTTTCGCGCGTTTCCATGCTGCCTATTTTGGAGTGGTTCGTTGGTTTTATTGGCCCGGTTGGCTGACGGCTTTCCCACTTTCCCATCTCCCCTCTTTTCCCACTCCGGCTGCTATTTATGTAGTCCAGCCGATCTGGCGGAAGGTCCGAAACTGAAACTGAACTGGACGTGGCCAGAAAACGGGGTAATGGTTGGCTTGCAGCAGGGGCAGCAGCATCATTTGGTTAACACAATTGTGTGGTGCATGGTCATTGCCGTTGACGTTTATGATGTGCTGTGTTCGCTGGTCGAGGAAAGGACATTGCGATGTTGCCAGAGTCGTTACCCCATACTTTTTTTTTTGGTTTGGTACAGCCCCCTTTTCCCACCAAGGTTGCGTGTGCTATCATTAAGTGCTGAAAATTTCATCAAACACTTCAAAGCGGACCACCACGTGTCCCAGTCCATGTCTCCCTCGCTCGCTCGAGCTGGTTCGTTTCAGTTTATGATTCTATTATTTTCACAGCAAATAAAAGAGAAAACTGCGTATCATGGCCAAGTGCTAAATGGGCGCAAGGGAAAATTGCGAAAAAATTTTCGGAGCTGGCTTTCCCAACTCCCCTTTTCTGTTTTTTTTCTATTTGTTTTCTTTTTGTGCTTCCAGCTAAAAAAATTTAAAGGTGGGATGAGGAGCCGTGTGGCAGCTGAGCACGTAAAAAGCGTTGAACCGAAACGTTGTGGGCAACAGCTGCAAAGAAGTGTGTGGGTGTGCGGGTGTGTGCGTAAGGAAAAGCGAAATTTCCCAGCGCACACGGAAAGTTTGC